TGTTTAAAAAAGATATACTGATTGATTTGAAAGTCAGAGTTCTGATAGAGAGAGAGATTTTCCATCTGCTAGTGCACACTCCAAATGCGCACATCACCTAGGGACAAGCCATGATGAACTCCATCCAGATCTCCCCTCTGGGAGGCAGGGACCCATGAACTTCGGTCATCATTTGCTGCCTCTCAGGTGCATTAGCAGGGAGCTAGATCTGAAGTGGAGACAAGACTCAATCCCAGATACTCCAATATGAGATGTGGTGTCCTAAGGGGTAGTTAGTCTGCTGCATCACAATGTCCAACCCCACCTTGTCAATTTTTAATTTATTTATTTGAAAAATTCTTTAAAAGCAAGCTTTATTCTTAACTATCATCTATAACTTCCAGAGGGCTGTTGGTCCAAAAGGAATTTGCGTGAAATAGAAAATGGTGATCTTCCAGACCCATTCCAGACCATATGCTGGAAAATCAGCATTATTACTCCACACACCAGTGGCTATGGATGGAATCAAAATATATCAGGTGGGGCTGGAACTGTGGAATAGCTGGTAAAAAAAGAAAAAAGCCACCACCTGCAGTGCTGACATCCCATACGGGTGCTGTTTCAAGTCCTGGCTGCTCTGCTTCTGATCCAGCTCTCTGCTGTGGCCTGGAAAAGCAGGAGAAGATGGTCCAAGTCCTTGGGCCCCTGCAACTGCATAGGAGACCCAGAGGAAGCTCCTTGCTCCTGGCTCTGGGCTCCTGGCTTCGAATCAGTGCAGCTTTGGCCATTGTGGCCATCTGGGGAGTGAACCAGCAGATGCAGGACATATATATATATATATATATATATATATATATATATATATACACCTCTACCTCTCTGTAACTCTGCCTTTTAAATAAATAAATAAATCATATATCTACATCTATATCTATATCTATATATTAGCTATCACACTAAATTACTGAAGTCCAGGCCAGACCTCATGAGGTAAGATCATGTTGACATGAATACATGACTAAGATGGCTGGGAGACTGTTGTAACAGGAATGCATATCCCCTCCAAAGGGACAGCCAGCCAGTGATTACTGCTACACGACCAGTACTTTTTATCCACATGAACTGATAAAAAGAACTATAAACACTGCAGGTTCACAAATCACACCAGTGTGCCACAGTAGGACCATGTGCCCAGAACCCCTCATCTAGGCCAACATCTGGGCATTTACCAACCATGCACCTGCTAGGTTTGTACTTCTTTAAGTGTTTTGGCAACTCTAGGAACTTCATCATATCTAACAACAGAAAAGAAAGAGAAGGAGAAAAATTATCCAGAATTAACAGGCAGAGATAATGAAAATTTGAAAGGGTGTGAAGATTATTCTAAAGTATGGAGAAAGCCACCACCAAGAATAATACTATGTAGGTGGAGCTTTGTCTTGCCTAGGCATGCACTTCTAGGTCATATGCATCACATATTTCTAGACTGTAAATACAGCCTCCTTACAAGTAGATGGGCTTCTCTGTTCAATTCTATTTAGCCACTGTCAGTGGGATTGTGACAGTGACATTCTATGGGACAGGGGACAGATTATGCTTATTATATTCAATGTAGCATCCATTCCTGGCGAATAATCAGTACTGAATAGATATAAATAATTCTTCAATACCAAAATGGAAAAGGCTAGGTTTGAACTTGGAATCTGTAACAAGGTTTATTTGACTATTTGGGAGATACATGCTAAACTCTCAAATTTATCAGTCTCATAGAAAGATTCAAAAGACTAAGATCTCAAAATACAAAATTGAGGAGACGGCCAAATTAAAATAACAATAATACTTTTTTTCTTTCCATTGCATGACACAGTGTGAACCCCAAAGTATAAACACACATGTGGAATTATAAGTAAAACAAAGGAAGCAGCTCAACACAGCTGCTATCTAATAAAATTCTGTTCTATTTTTTACTGTCTAAGCTTTATTTTGTGTCTACAGGATAGGAAGCCAACATTTAGAAAAGGATCTAACAAATGAAACGCACATTAAATTTTTTTGTATGTGACTAGGACTCGTGTCCTAGAAATACTTGAAAAATTCAACACCTAGAGTTCACACAGAGTTCTGCTGGTTTGTACACCAACATGTTGGGCTGGTTTAAGGCTCTCATTGGCCTTATATTAAAAAAAAAAAAAAAAAGTTTATGGCCGGTGCCGTGGCTCACTTGGTTAATCCCCGCCTTGCAGTACTGGCATCCCATTTGGGCGCCGGGTTCTAGTCCTGGTTGCTCCTTTTCCAGTCCAGCTTTCTGCTGTGGCCCGGGAAGGCAGTGGAGGATGGCCCAAGTGCTTGGGCCCCTGCATCTACATGGGAGACCAGGAAGAAGCACCTGGCTCCTGGCTTTGGATTGGCGCAGCACCAGCCGTAGTGGCCATTTGGGGAGTGAACCAACAGAAGGAAGACCTTTCTCTCTGTCTCTCTCTCTAACTCAACCTGTCAAATAAAAAAAAAATAACAAAAAAGTATAGAACCCGAAAAGCATAAAGTTTTGTGGTAGAGCATGCCGTCAACTAGTCTTTTCAGTATTCATAAAAAAAAATTAACATTTCTTTTCTAACAGGAAATGTGTCCTACATAATAGGACATGTTTGGTCTTCACATACAGGTCCGAGACTAGAAATCCAGCATGTTAACAGGACTATGAGAAAAAACAATGGGAATTGTTAAAAACTAGGTTGTGTGGTCCCAGTACTGCCAGAGGCAAACTCCTCATAGTTCAGAAGCAGAAGGCTTCCAGCCAGAACCTAACCAATGGGTCAACAGCGCCAGAAGACATTTCTCTTAATGAAAAGAAGGCACGCACACGTGGGGTCTCCATCCCACAGAAACGGGTAGAAGAGTATGGATACATATGATGTGGCATTTACTATGTAGCAGGCACCATACCAGGGGCTTCATTTAATCACTCCTGTAATCCTCATGATGTATTGGTTGTGATCCTCATTTCATAAAAAAGAATACTGAGGATGGGAAATTTAAATAACAACTCATCATTATGCAGTTGTTAAGCATAAGGAATGGGATTCAAAAGCAAATATTTCTGACTGCGGTGAATAAGCTCTTAAAATATTATGCTCTACTGTGGATAGCAAATGTAATCAGTGAAAGAAGATGTACTGAAAAACAATGGGGAGATCACCCAATATACAACAAACAATTTCCAAAATATCGACCATGACCCACAGAAATCAATACATTCTACACCACAACCCAGTACACGCCCCGTATATATTACTGTGTACAAACAACTAAAAGTGTTTCCCAAAAAATATTTAGTGTACTGTGTCTGATACACTTTAATATGTTCCTACTTCATTTTCCATATTCTTCTATTTCACTATTTTTAAAATGCTGTTCAGGGTTTACTGAAATGATTTCACAGCCAAATTGTAGGTTAGAACCCACCAATTGGAAACCACGGCATAATGAACACTGATGATCACTGTTCTTATGATTTCTGACATCAGGTCGAATATTAGGCTTTTCAAATTTTCACATATAATCTTCCCATTGAGCCTTTATCCATGCAAAGAAAAAGGGAGAAGGGTAGTTAAATTGGAGAGATAAGCAATGGAGAGCACTGTCAATCATGTGTCATCAGCTAGAAAGGGCAGTGAAATTAACATACTCCAAAAAGAATGAATCTGTCTCAAGGACAAAGAAGTCTGCTCAAAAAGTCAGATGCAAAAGAATCTATGTTGGAGAAGGGGTTCTGCTATCTTTTTTTTTTTTTTTAAAGTAAGACTTTATATTTTCTTTGTATGTATTTTCCCAGACACACGCACACACACACACACACACACACACACATATATATATATAGAGAGAGAGAGAGAGAGAGATAAAGACAGAGACAGATCTTTCCTCTGCCTGTCTAATCCTCAACAGGCCTTGGCCTGCAACAGCCAAGAATGGATCAAACTGAAGCGAGGAGACCAGAAGAGAAGTTGAATCTCACACAGTGGTGGCAGGGATTCATGTACTTGAGCCTCCCAGGGTGCATACACATTAGCTGGAAGGTGGAATCAGGAGTGGAGCAGGTACTCAAACCTAGGCACTCTTGTATGGGGTGCAGACATTCCAGGTAGTGTCTTAATCGATACAGCAAATGCTGAGCTTGGTTCCGATGTCACTGATGCTCCTTTGAGTTCCTTTGGGAAGACAGCATTTTCTAACAATGATTGGTAAAATGAAGTCCTGTATGCACCCTTTAGGTTTTAAGACTGAAAGAAATATCATACATCTTTTAACTAGCCAGGTTACCTTCAACAAAACAAAGTGCCACATTCCCTACAGGCAATTTGGTCAAGGCACTCACTAATCAACACAATTTAATTTGATGTGACTTAATAAAATCCTGATAGCATTGTCTAAGAAAGGATGCAAGATTTGGTTTCTTTGTGCAGAATCAACAAATGAGGTGTGAACACACATCACATAAGCACATCAAAGGAAAGAAAGGATGGGAGTTCATAGATACACTAACTTAAATAGTTTTAACAAAAACTTCAGTTACCATGGGGATTTTTGGAAGGGAAAGAAAAGGGGTCTCTTTAGAGAAGTGACTGATGCTATTTAATAATCTAGCTGCAAGTAATGTCAAATTTTAAAGTTGCTTCAAAGAAAATCACCCTTTTTTTGCATCAGCCTCTTAATATGCTGAAGGAACCTACTCAAATCGCTTCAGCAGTGAAGGAACTGAGATGATAAATGTGTTCTTCAATCTGTGCACCAGTCAAGTAGCAATAAAATCAGAATAATTCATGCAAAAATTTTCATTATGTTTCTAAACATACTTATTTACATTTTAAATCACACATTAGACAATATGAAATATCTTTCACTTAGACAGGTGTGAACTAGAAAACAGATGCATTCATTAAACATGGAACAATTCGGTGAATTAACAAAAAAAATACTCAGAGAACTCTCTGGTTGAAGTAATTCAGCCACTGTTAACTTACTTGAAAAAATATGGCCATGGCTCCAATGATTCTGTTCTCAGAAATTGCGCTTTGAAAGCTGTCAAAGTCATCTGGATTGTAGAAGAAAATCTGCATCTGTAAAAGAAAAAAATAGACATGTATGAGAAAAATTTTCAGACCTACACAAAAGCAGGGGGACCGTGGGCCCAATTCTCCATTCACTGCGATTTTGGCAAATTTACTTATCCATCCATCTATTTTCCCTTTGTTAGTATTTGAAAGCAGACCCAAGACATCCTGCATTTCAGCCCTACATTCTTCAAGGCGCATCACACCTTCACACATAACTGCAATGCATTTGTGCCACCCAAAGGAATAATACCAAGGCCTTCTCATTACCTCATGCTCAGGTCATGATGAAATCTTCAAGAAGCAAAATTTTAACGTAGGAAAGAAACTAAGTTTGTGAGTTTCAGTGAACATGTTACAATTATAAGCAGTTATGTGATCACATTTTTAGAAATAACTTGCATATTAATTTTGAGAATTTGAAGAGGAATCTTAGTAGGTTTGAGAAGTAGCCCAAATGGCTCAAATTCAGCAAATTCACAAGGAAATGTGATGTCGTTGGTAATAATATTGCTTTACATCTCACATTGACAGTCTGTAGAAAGCCATCCCATACATTATTTCACTTAGTCCTCCTAACAGCAGACTCAGTTATAGAAGAAGACATTGTGTTCCACAAACTGGACATAAACTTGAGCAAGATTAAACATCAGAGAGTCTAAAAATCCTGGCAATCGTATGCCGCCTGTTGCATTTGTCTACAGTCTCCTGTTCCAAAAGCAGAGCTGAGATAAATCAAAATAAAATCATCATCCGCTCTGAATGCTTGAATACGCCTTGATATTTAAAAAGATCACAGAACAAAAATGAACCACAGAGCACCCCCAAGAGACAATGCATGTGACAAGAACCGGTCTGAGTTTCTCTTGCAGCTCCCTCCCTGACTTGCCTCTGAGACCTCAGGCAAGCTATTTTCTGAACATCAGCTTCTTCACAGATATCCAGTATTCCCACTTGGTAGAGTGGTGCTACAGATGGAAACAGGTCAGTGTAATGCACAACATGTAACACCACATCAGCGCTCGACAAATTGCCATCATCATCATCCTGTATTAAGGTTGATGTTTAAGGCCGGCACCGCAGTTCACTAGGCGAATCTTCTGCCTTGCGGCGCCGGCACACCGGGTTCTAGTCCCGCTCGGGGTGCCGGATTCTGTCCTGGTTGCCCCTCTTCCAGGCAAGCTCTCTGCTATGGCCCGGGAGTGCAGTGGAGGATGGCCCAAGTGCTTGGGCCCTGCACCCCATGGGAGACCAGGAGAAGCACCTGGCTCCTGCCTTCAGATCAGCGCGATGCGCCGGCCACAGCGGCCATTGGAGGGTGAACCAACGGCAAAAGGAAGACCTTTCTCTCTCACACTCTCTCTCTGTCTCTCGCTCTCACTGTCCACTCTGCCAGAAAAAAAAAAAAAAAAAAAGGCAACTTAAAATTTCTAGAAAGCAGCAAGCATTGTGGTACACCAGGTTACGTCGCTGATTGGGATGCCGGTTTGAGTCCTGGGTACTGTGCTTCTGGTCTAGCTTCCTGCTATTAATGAGCCTTGGAGGAAGCAGATGATGGCCCCAATACTTGGGTTCCTGCCACCCTCGTGGGAGACCCACATGAAGTTTCTGACTCCTGGCTTCATCCTGGCCTAGCCCTGGCTGTTGCTGGCAGAGGGGAGTGGACCAGCAGATGGAAGATCTCTCTCCCTCCCTCTGGGTTTGTGTGTGTGTGTGTGTGTGTGCATGTGTGTCCCTCTCTCTCATACCTTCAAATAAACAAATCTTTAAAATAAATTTTAAAAATTTCTTGAAAAATGTGATTTCATTGACTCTCCCAGAAAATCCCGTCGCCTGTATTGTAAGCTTTCTGCTATGACTGTTCCAAGTGGTATGATGCCATTTTCTGTAAGGAGCTAAACAACCACAGCGCAATGGAGTTTGTAGATTTGACATCAAGAACAGAAAGTTCCCAGCAGAGAAAGCTGTCAGCCAGTTAGCTGCAGAATAGGTCAAAGGTAAATAGAGACTTGATGACTGCTGTAACCACGGTGCTTAGAACATGACGGTATTTCTTCCTTGAAGGATGAGATCAGGTAGCTCAAATCAGGACTCTTTCTTTCTTTCTTTCTTTTTTTCTTTTTTTTGACAGGCAGAGTGGACAGGGAGAGAGAGAGACAGACAGAAAGGTCTTCCTTTTGCCGTTGGTTCACCCTCCAATGGCCGCCGCAGCCGGCACACTGCGGCCGGCACACCGCGCTGATCCAATGGCAGGAGCCAGGTGCTTATCCTGGTCTCCCATGCGGGTGCAGGGCCCAAGCACTTGGGCCATCCTCCACTGCACTCCCTGGCCACAGCAGAGAGCTGGCCTGGAAGAGGGGCAACCGGGACAGAATTCGGCACCCCGAGCGGGACTAGAACCCGGTGTGCCGGCGCCGTAAGGCGGAGGATTAGCCTAGTGAGCCTTGGCGCCGGCAGGACACTTTCTGTAACAAGTGTTCGGCACAGCCCTGCTCCACTCCCAACTCCAGTGTCCTACTGATGTGCACCCTGGGAGAGCAGGTGAGGACTCAAATACCTGGGAGATCCAAACCGAGTTCTCAGTTCTAGCTTGTACCTGGTTCAAGTCAAGATGTTGTGGGCACTTAGGAACTGATTCAGTGGATGGGAGTCTCTGCCTGTCTCTCTGTCTCTCTCCCTGCCCCATCTCATCCCCCTTCCCCATTTGTCTTGCAAATAAATAAAAATTTTCAGAAGCATCAGGACAGCTTCTATAAAAACTCAGGTACCTAAGTAGATGGGAGGTGGATGGAGATTCTTTTAGAGTACTTACTTTCTTAGAGCAATTTATTTTTCTTAAGACTAGGAATGCCCACCGATTCTGGCAGTTTCTTACAAATGTGTTGCCTTTAGGTTTGGACAGCTCCAGACATCATGAATTTATACTGAGAAAAATCCATTCAATGAGGTGCAGATTAAAACAGTCTAACACTGGGGAAACTGCTTTCATATACTGCTACAAACCAAGAAAGAAACTCTGGAGAAGTATATTCAGCAAATTACCCTTCACTTTCCTTTTAAAATTCAGGCTCTCAAATTAAGTAGGTTCACAGAAGTCTTTCTTTTGCTTCAGCCCTTGAGCAGGGGTAGCCTTGTTTAATGCATCACCTGAATGCTGTTGTGTGATACAAAATACGGTAAGATCTCTTCAAGGGCATTTTCATTTACCAATCAGTAAGGAAACGCATTTTTAAAAAATGTGTTTGAGTCAAGGCTCCACCCCTTCTGGATAATCAAATGTCTCATAAAGGGAATTGCAGCACTACTCTGCGATATCATTTTGCCTACCTATTTTTCTAAGTTGTAGCCCACTGATGTATGTTAACATGGGAATCTATCTAAAACATGAGAGTAAATAAGTAGATGAAGTTTTGGTGAGTGAAGAGGACTTAACATTCTTATTGTTGATGAGACAAGTGTGGGCAAAAGCTAGGAACAGTTTTTCAAAAAATAATAATTTAAAAAAGCAAAGTCTCTAGAAGGTATTTTGGGTGGCTATCCCCCACTTTAGTATGCACTCTCAAAAGACACTCTCCAGCATTCCACAAAGTGTGTTCTCTACTAATGCCAATCTAAGTGATGCTTATTTTATAGCAACCTCCCCGATGAAGAATCACGGGGCAAACAGGAAGAAACATCTGGAAACCTACTAACCCTCCTATGTATCTTTTATCCAGGACCACTGATTATTTACACTTCACTTTGACTACACATGCATCGCATACACTTTTTGTTTCTCAATCATTTGGGAGTATGTGGGAGATAAAATACCCTTAAACAGGGAATACTCAAATGTATTATTTCTAAGAATAGGAACATTATCCTATATAATCACACTATAATTATTAAAATGAGTGAATGCCACATTGATACAACAATATTATCTAATTCATAGACCATTTTAAAATGTTGGCAGGCTCTCAAACACAGTCCGCTACACATTATTTTTTAGTGCTCAGTGTAGGATTCAATCAAGGATCACACGTCATCATTTGGTCCCCATGTCTCTTAACCCCTCCTGCTCTGACTTTTCAGCTGGGACACTGACTCAGCCTGTGGCTGTTAAACTCTGACAATTTGAAGCGTGGAGGACAGTTATTTCACAGAATTGAGGTCTTTCTCCCGGTTTCTCAGGATTAGGTTCGGGCCATGAATCTGGAACAGGTTAGCAGAGCAGAAATGCTGCGTCTGTTCTGGGTATCACAGCAGAAAGCACGTAATGTGGGTTTATGCAGTACTGAGGGCACTTCTCTTTTATGTCCTTTTATTTCATTTCAGAGGCACAGGGACACACAGAGACAGAGACAGAGACACAGAGAGCTTCCATCTACTATTTCATTCCTCAAATGAAGCTTGGAGTCAGGAACTCAACTCAAGTATCCCAAGTGGGTGACAGAAACCCAGCCACTTGACCTATCAAGGTCTGCATGGGCAGGAATGCTGGAGTCAGAAGCCAGAACTAGCAAGTGAAGCCCTGCACCTGCAGGTAGACACGCGTGTCTCAACTGCCAGGCCTAATGCCAGCTCCCGGGGTGGGGGGAGCTCTTGATCATTTCATAATGTGATGTCTGTCGGGTTTCCTCACTGGAAAGTTCTTTATTTTCCTTCTGTAAATAAAAAGTACTATGTAGAGAGATACTTTGGAAATTATGTAAACATTCTGTTCATTATCTAAATTTTATCCACTAAAGAACCCATTGATGACTTTCTAGTTTATGTAAGAAAATAGCTTTCCCTTCTCCATAGTTTATTAATTTACGTATGTCCATATGGACTGATGTTTGTGTTCTTACTTTTTTATTTTCTTGAATCTATTATTATATCCCACTAGTAATATTATTTGGATGCTCAAACTGTCCCAGATTGACCCAGTAGGAGACCTTTCAAAAGGATTCCTCTGTCATTCTTTCATATCCTCATGATTTTTTTTAACTCTTTTTAACACTGCCGTAATATTAGGCAAAGAT